GGGTTTTCCAACTCCCCTAGGTGGACTCTCCGTGTCCACCAACCCGGTTAAATCGCCGGACATTCGCTTTTCGTCCTCTCACTTTCGTAAACAACACCCCCGCCACGAGAAGGCAGTGAGTAGGACTTTTGTGGCAGAGGCTATATATTCGCTGGCCATATGAGAGCATTTCGAGAGGGAGAGTAGACTCTCCCCACTCTCGGCCGTACCAGGGCATTTGGGGGCTCGTACGTACGTACATCAGTCCAAGCTGCCATACCACATTAGCACAGAGATGAAGTCGATTCAAATCCCATAGTGGTAGAAGTAGTAAGAGTATAAGCATTATGTGAAAGATTAGGGTTTGAAGATGTTATTGAAGGAGTATAATACAGTGAGATAAATTTGGAAAGAGAAAAAGGGTAGGGACATGAGGAATTCAGAGAATTAGAATTTGGTAGAACACAAAGTGGATGCACCTTTGCCATTGCAAACGATTTTGAGCCATGTCATTCAAGGTCTCTAACCATCGGTTGCTATCATCTCGCGAGTCCCAACCAGGTAGTCTACACCTACCAGCATGGCTCAGTCCACTTGTCAGCGACTCCCTGGATGGGGTTGGAAAGATGGTGCAACACAGTGGCAAGAGACGTTATCAGATATGGCTCAGAATATAAACCAGTGGCTAGCCTGCTGTAACCTTCTTTTACTTTCTTCATAAAGAGTGGTTATAAATTCTTAACTGAGAGAGTTCAGGTTGTACATTTCAGTTCCCCCATCATTAGTCTTCTCTTTTTTTCTTCCTTTATATGTACGCATCTTCCCCCTTTCTCCTCCCATACTCATTATTTTGTGTGGCGCATTTGTATCTGGTGCCCTTTGTACCAATATGTATGTGTTTAAATAAATAAAATAAATGTAATATTTGCAGAGGATAAGCAACATACAAAACAGCTGGCGTAAAAAGTTCTTACATTCGAGGTTGAGTCTGAAGTTTTATTATCCCAGCGGTTTTCTCTTCCACTTTTACATTCGAACGATTGTGTTATGGTATTTCTCAAACTGTGTCTATGCGGTTTTAACTAAATGTCCGGCGACTATAGCCGTTATACGCATTTTCATCTGCATATTTGGTTCGTGTCTGAAGTCAGACAGACTTTGTTTTGTATATTTGTTTGCATTAGCACCGCACTTTTGTCATGTAGAAATTTTTAGCTATAAAGTCATCGTTCTGTTTTCTCCGCGCTTTCTGCTTGTGTTTAATATCTTACGTCATCATGTCTCGTCAAACAATCAAGGAAGACTGTTTAAATTTTAACTTCGGGCTCGAATAAGTTTTTAAATTCATGCAAAACTATTTTACTATCGTATTTAAATTAATGAGGGAATGTGTGATTAACCGTTTGCTACGATTACGATTCGTCGATTTTAACGGTTGGGACGTATTACGTATGCTTCATTACCGCCTACGTCAACGTAGACAACTTTCTACATCGACTTCGTAGTTTAAACAACTTTCTGTACTCAATTCTCATATTCGAATCCCACAGCACATACATTGGCATAAACAATCCACACGAAACGTTCAAAATCACCTACGAACAAGTGCGTGGTTACTGAGTTAAATTAAATTATATTATATTGCTCCATCAGGTTCCGGGTTACATTCTTTTTAAAAATCTTCCATTTATACTTGGAAAATATTCATCAATAACCATGTTACTACCCAGCATATGTGTATTTGATGGGTTAAATGAACACTATTATTTTTAAAGTCAGTGTTTATATTCGTCAAGAGGTTTATATAAAATTGAGTGAATAAAGCAATCGTCATCCCTGTCTTTAGAAATAGTCGGCGTAGAGTATGAACCGGACCGTAGCTGCTACCTTGACTTAGTGGTCGGACTTGCCTATCATGATTACGCATGCGAACTATATTGTATGAAACACGTTCCTTTAGGTCCTACCGTCCCCAGTCAGGTTGGTTGTAGAGCGGTCAGACTAAAATCAGGTCCGGGGATGAAGTCGTACTGTAAAGGGATATGACAGTAGTAAAGTGCTCCCCTCTCCAGACAACCAACGTCTTCAGCAATGCTGCCTTCCCACAACAAAAGGGAGGGGTTTGAAACGATTGACCCTAGAAATGTCACACCTCACCTTACCCCACGGATTTCCGTCTCCGAGAGTAAGGCCTTTTAATGTGCAGAGCTAACTCATCGAAGGCTTCCCATAAGAAAGTCCATGAGCGGCCAACCTCAAACAGTTATCCCTTGGGCTCTGTGATCACGCTCCGCTAGGACTTCCACTAATTCAGCTTCTTTTTCAGGTCCCTCAAGAATAAATGCCCTCCCATGTTGTGGGCAACTGGTAAGTGACGACCACCCTCATGCCTCTATCGGCACCTGAGATCATCTTGTTGACGATTAAATCGCTCTCTCATCTCTTAATAATCCCATCCCCATGACTGACCCTTCTCATTTATCTTTTTTTTACTACGCGCCACCAATGCTTATGATTTGAATTCACGAAATATTATTTCAGGTCTCCTAAAACCACGCTCCAAACTACGTGTCGGAGCTTTTAATGTTCGAACCTTGTATGAGATAGGAACACATGCTTTTTGACTACGACTCTAGAATCCCGCGACATCAATATATTCTGCGTTTTCACAACGTGGATACAGGATCTAAGTACTGTCATTCATTTGACTTCACCTTGTCAATATAAAAAACGGACACAATATATCCTTCTAGTAACTGGAGGCCCCATTACCACTTCCTGCAGCCTCGTTGTTGTAAGTATAGCATTGCTTTCTCAAGTAAATCAAGCTCCCTTAGATCGGATTCCAGCAGACGGTGGCTTGTTTGCTGTCCTATTAAACGGGAAAGTTATTTATTTATTTAAGCACAAATATTGGTACAAAGAGGCACTAGATACATATGCGCCTCACAAATCTCATTCGATTTGTGTGAGGGCTGTGATACTGCCCAGGTGCCCAAACTGAAGCAGGTGGTTTTTTAGGGGGCCACACCCGGAGCCTTTGACCTTAAGATCTGATCCACAAGGCAGTTGAGCATCGTCAGGAGATGCAGTCCCATGGTAGTCGGTGACCAACGATTGATTCATACGCCATTTGTTTCTTCAGGATACTGGAGCCCATGTGCACCATTGGTTTAGAATCAGGGTTTTCCAAATCCCCTAGATGGTCATTGTGTCCATTAACTCGGTTAAAACGCCGGACATTCGCTTTTCTTCCTCCCACTTTCGTAAACGGCATCCCCGTCGCGAGAAGGCAGTGAGTAGGACTTTTGTGGCAGAGGCTATATATTCGCGTGCCATGTGAGAGCATTTCGAGAGGGAGAGCGGACTCTCCCCACTCTCGGCCGTACCAGGGCATTTGGGGGCAAGTACAAGAGCCACAACAAGAAACCCCCTTAGAATTCAATTTAATGGTAGGAAAAAATTGATATATTTCAGGAAGAACTGGAGAAAGAGCTAGACAACCGTCAGAATGCTATCCATCACGAGGTAGCTTGGTATGTTGTCCAAAAAGCTGTGTGTGGAAACAACAGTGATGTTTACCAGTAACTTAAAACAAAACGTTAGAAAGAATCAGCGGGGTCTACAAAACTGACTTTGATCGTAAGGTTCTATGGTAGTGTCTGTGATTGAAAGGCGTACCAAAGAAGTACATTAAGCTTGTAACGGTCCTCCACTCAAACACTATTAGTAGAGTGGTGTTCGTCAAGATTGTTCGCCTACCCATTCTTATTTAACGTTATCATAGACATGTTTTGAGAGATAACACTTTATCGTTTGACTTTTCAGGGATTAATCTTCTGCTAGGAGATTCACTTATTGAATGCTCAGATAATATGGTTGTGTTTGGTGAAAACGCTGATAAAACTTACAGTGTTCTGATCACCTTAAGCATGATTGGAATAAGGTTCTCTCCCTCCAAATGTAAAGTGTTACTTTAGGATTGTCTTGTGTTATCGCCTGAATTAGTGACAGGGAGTAAAGTAGTTGGACGTATCAACGACCTCACTTATCTTAAGAGTCTTATCAGTACTGACGAAATTTCAGTATGGATTCAGAAAACTCGACTAATTCTTTTCACTTTTGGCGTAGACAATACATCTGTTATTAGTATTCGATCGTGGGTGTCTTCGAAGCATTGCTTGTGTATTTTGGGGCCTTGGAGTAAGTAGTGTCTGGGTTAGGAATAGAGTACTAGGTAAAGATGGTAAATCAATCGAGGAGGTAGTAAATCTCCAACTAAGGTGGTTTGAACATGGGTTATATATGCCCAATCACCACCTACCTCGACGAGCAGTGTTTTCTGGTGTAGCAGTAGGCTGGAAGAAAGTTAAGTATTGCCAAACGAAAACATGGCATCATTAAATTAAGTCACAATTGAACTTAGCAATATTAATGGGTGTAGACTACCTGAATGGGGTCCGCGTAGTTATCGTAACCAATGGTTAGAGACTTTGAATAACATGGCTCAAAATCGTCTGAAATGGCGTAAGTGCATCCGCTCCCTATCTTTCCCCAAATCCTAAAATTACCACTGCTACTGTTACTGCCTATATTATTCTGGGGTTCGTCTCTGTGCTAATAGGGTATGAGAACTTGGACCGATGTGTGGGATAATTATCGGGATGCATGCTGTACAGATGTCATTTCAGTGACAAACTACGTACTATTTGCTGGTGCTAGGATTAAGAGACGAAAGTAAAGATGGCCAGTTTAATTCATCACTATAAAGTGGGAGATTACTGCATATGACTTGACACCTGTGTACGAATGTTGTTGGTCGTTCCAGACTGGTCTTCACATGCATATTATGCTAAAATATGACCATACCTGGCCATATATATTATGAACATTAAAGAGTGCTATAATAATATGAAATAATCTTCGCTCATGTTTAAAAATAATCTTTTGTGACTTTTTGCAGATGAACTATCATTATTTCATCGGTGCATGTTTTGCTGCTCTTTTAAAAATTCTAATAGTTGTTAACACGAGTCTTCGCTCAGCTTGGTGATTTGAATCCTGAACTTGTATCAGATCAGAAAAGGAAGCTCGTAATGGTTCCCCCCCAAATGGCTCGCGTCGGGACCAAAAAGACTCTTTTTGTAAATTTTTCAACTATTTGTCGTTCTTTAATGAGAGATCAGTCTCATCTCACAACATACATACTAACTGAACTGGGTACTCAAGGTTCAGTGGATGCTAACGGTGCTTTACTTATTCGTGGACGTTATACAAGTAAACACATGGAACCTGTGCTGAGAAACTACTGTAGTAAGTGTCATGATCTGTAATTTTTAAAATTAATGTCATGATTTTTATTGATAATAATAGAAGTACGTGTTAGTTATAGTATCTCGGTCCTATGGTTTTTGTAAATCTTTGATTGTAGGTAACTGGAATGTGTATGTACTTACTTACTTTCGCCTGTTACTCCAAATGGAGCATAGGCCGCCGACCAGTATTCTCCAACCCACTCTGTCCTGGGCCTTCTTTTCTAGTTCTATCCACTTCTTGTTCATTCTTCTCATTTCTGTCTCTATTTCTCGGCGTAATGTGTTCTTTGGTCTTCCTCTTCTCCTTTGACATTCAGGATTCCATGTGAGGGCTTGTTTTGTGACGCAATCGGATGATTTCCTCAAAGTGTGCCCTATCCACTTCCTCCTCCGCTGGAATCTGGTTTGTTGTATCCCACAGTAACTTGTTGCTGATAGTGTCTGGCCATCGGATCCGAAGTATCTCGCGTAGACAACTATTAATAAACACTTGTATCTTCTGGATAATGGCTTTCGTAATTCCCCACGTCTCCGCCCCATACAATAGAACTGTCTTGACATTTGTATTGAAAATTCTAACCTTGGTGTTGGTTGACAATTGTTTTGAGCTCCAGATGTTTTTCAGTTGTAAGTATGCTGCTCTTGCTTTGCTGATCCGCGCCCTCACATCTGCATCTGATCCACCGTGTTCATCAATGATGCTGCCCAGATATGTAAAGGTTTCCACATCCTCCAAAGCTTCTCCGTCAAGTGTAATTTGATTGGTGCATATTGTATTGTATCGGAGAGTCTTGCTTTTCCCTTTGTTTATATTGAGACCTACTGCTGCTACACTGGTCGTTTTCTCCTGCATTTGTTGTTGCGTTTGTGATAGAAGAGCCAGATCATCCGCGAAGTCTAAATCGTCAAGCTGCATCCTGCCTGTCCACTGTATCCCGTGCATTCCTCCAGATGTTGACGTCTTCATGATCCAGTCGATCACCAGGAGAAAGAGAAAGGGTGAGAGTAAGCAACCTTGCCTAACACCGGTCTTTACTTCAAACAAGTCGGTGAGTTGTCCTCCGTGGACAATTTGGCAGTTTAGTCCATCATAGGAGTTCCGTATGATATTGATTATCTTCTCAGGCACGAAGAAGCCTCCATAGTGTCGTCCTGTTCACGCTATCAAATGCCTTCTCGTAGTCGATGAAGTTGATGTAGAGTGATGAATTGCATTCGTTTGATTGTTCCACAATGATACGTAGAGTTGCGATTTGATCTGTGCACCCGATGATCTATCCTTACGAAATCCAGCTTGTTGATCTCGAAGTTGGGCGTCCACTGAATCCCTCATCCTGTTTAACAATACTCGGTTGAAGACTTTTCCTGGTATTGAGAGAAGAGTGATGCCCCTGTAGTTGTCGCACTTGCTCAGATCGCCTTTCTTTGGTATCTTGATGAGAAGTCCTTCTTTCCAGTCTGTTGGTACTTGTTCTTCGTCCCAAATCTTACTGAAGAGGATGTGGAGTATCTTGGCAGTTGCTGTTACATTTGCTTTCAGTGCCTCTGCCGGGATGTTGTCTGGTCCCGCTGCTTTGCCACTCTTGACTTGTCTAATGGCCATGCTGATCTCTTCAATTGTTGGTGGGCCAATATCGATTGGAAGGTCCGTGGGTGCTGCTTCGATGTTGGGTGGGTTCAGTGGAGCTGGTCGATTCAAGAGTTCTTTGAAGTGTTCTACCCACCTGTTTCGTTGTTCTTCAATGTCGGTGATTACTTTGCCTTCCTTGCATTTCACTGGTCTTTCTGGCTTACGGTAATTTCCAGCAAGTTTCTTTGTCGTATCATACAGTTGTCTCATGTTTCCCTCTCTTGCAGCCTTTTCCGCTGTCATTGCTAAATCTTCCACATATTTAAGTTTGTCGGTTCTGATGCTCCTCTTCACTTGCTTGTTTGCCTCTGTGTATTCGGCTTGTGCCTTGGCTTTTTCCGCTCTGGTTCGGCTGGTGTTGATTGCTGCCTTCTTGTTCCTCCTTGCTTCAATCTTATCCATTGTAGCAACAGTGATCCGTTACAGTCAAAATCACGTTTTCGTTTTAAGGAGATATGTTTTGCTATAGAATTCGGTTGTCAAACTTTACTTAATTACATTTTTTACTATTCATAGCATATTCCTGTTTCTATTTAATTATTTATTCAGGAACTTACGTGTTGTGTGGTACCTGCCAGTCTTCTGAAACAGACTTATGCAAAGACTCAAGACTTCTTTTCCTACACTGTCGACGATGTGGATCTCGTTTCACTGTAAAAACAGTGACTTCCGGATTCCAAGCCTTGACAGGGAAACGTGCTGCTTTGCGGGCGAAAACACAATGATACGCTAACTGTTCCAGGTTTTTTACTTCGTCAGCACAAATCTTCGAAATAAAACGATATCCTATTTCTATTTGTATTCTTTCGTATTATATGCGAAGATACTTTTATTAACTCACCTACTAACTGGTTTTAACAGGATTCTTAAACTGTACTAATAGAAACCTCTTATTCTTGAGGACGTACATATAGAATTTCAAGGTTTATATTTCGAAACACTTTTTATGATTACTTTTAAAGGGTATTGGTTATCATGTAATTCGGAAGGTAGATTTAATTCTCAACAAATAATTAGAGAAATTTATTGCACTAATATTTATAACAGTATAAAATCGTGTTGGCTGAGTGACTGCAATTGAGTATGTCTATGCTATGGATGATGGGTGGCATTCCCATAGTTGTGAAATTTTTCAGTTTGGTTGGATACAAGTAACATCTCGACTCAATTCCCGTATCTCGGAGGTAGAAGTTTGTTCCCATTACGGTAAACTTCATGAAAAAACCCAGAACACGTCTAAAGGCACGTGGAGTGTCACGTTGTTTAGTGTCCGATGATTTGACACTCCATTTCAAAGTGCAGACGTCCTCCCAACTATTCTGTTCGGAATCTGCCCAACGACCTAGAAATAACGTGTTGCTTCATATCGAGTGACTTGAGTGGATCCATTTAGGGCTTACATCCAAGAGGTTAGCATCGATCCTTTAATACTATTCAGCCCATTCATCCTATGCACTGATCCCAAAATGCTAGGTTGTGTTTCAGTTTGTAAACCTCCACATAATATCAGGCTTTTTGAACATGGAACCGTATAAACGAATCAAAAAGATAATGCGTCCTTGTTTAAAAAGATAGGCCTTAGGTTTCAGCTTTATTGTGAATTCAATACTCGGATGCGAGTACTTTCATCTGAGTTTACAACAAGTGCAGTATATCTAAAATTGTCATAACGTCGTACATTCAGGTTCAAAAATAGTTAATGGAATACACAAATTTAGGAGCTAACAAAATACGCCTATTTATCCTGAATTTAGGACTGTTTATTCTAATTTGTGGACATCACTCGTTCTACACGTCATTAAAAGGAAAAACCAGCTTACTAGAATCCTGTACTGCTTTAAAGCGCCCGTGATGCTACTTCTGAAAATAAAGTGCGGCACTACAGGATCCTATAGCTTCACTAAGCAGGATTATATAAGAATTAATCGGTCTGTTTCGACAATATGTGAGAGAGATTAGCTCTAATGTAGTTTCCGATCAATAAAAGTTGAGTCTTGTATTTCATTCTTTTGCTGACGGTCTACAAATCTTTCGTAGCTACTATGACGTGAAATACATGGATATCGTTTGAAGAAAGTATACGCAGCAGTTAACCGTAAGAACAGTAGCAATAAAAAAAAGATTCATCTATATAAAAGCGAATAGTGCCTCATTCATTGTATTCTTAAAGGAGCCGAGTGCGAAATCTAACAAACTACAACTGTGGGATCACCAGCAACTTAGTGCAAATTAGGAAGTTGGGGATAGAAACGATGCATTCATGAGATATTACGCCACTTATCACCGAGTCAACATCTGTAGCTATTCTAATGTGACTGTCGGTCCCAAGCGCGGGTAAAGCAAGAGTGCAGAACGTGGGGTAAGCTACCCCAAGCAAATTAAATCATTTGAATTCTGACGTCCGAGTTGAAGGCTAAATTATGACGCCTCATGATGAAAGCCCAGTTCCTTCGGAAGTCACGAGGTCAATGCCACTCCTAGCAACCAGAGCAACAATCAATATAGGTACATGTAACGTTCGGACAATGTGGGATACCTGGTGAACCAGTCCAATAGCAACAGAAATGAGGAGACACGACTTGGCAGTACGCGGAACCAGCGACATCTATCAGACCCAAGCTCGATAGCAAAGTTTAGATACGGTAGAAATGCTGCTGCACTCCAGTCACGAAGAGGATAATGCTCCACACAGTCAGGGAGTTGCTCTGATGCTGTCCAAAGAAGCACGTAAAGCACTTATAGGATGAGAACCTCATGGATCCAGAATCATCAAAGCATCCTTCAAAACAAATGAGGGAAACACAATGAATGTTATGCACCCACCAATGATAGCAAAGACAACGATAAGTTCTATGAGAGACTGCAATCGATCATATCGAGGTGCTCAGAAAATGGCCTGACCATCGTGATGCGAGACCTAAACGCCAAAGTCGGAATGAGCAATACCAGAAATGAAGGTATCATGGAACGAAATGGACTGACTAGAAGAATGGTAAGATTCACAAATCTATGGGCAGGAGAGCTGACAAAGCTTCAAACCAACACCTGGTTTTTGCAGAAATAAAACTGAAGCTAATGAAACGACGATCAAAAAACAGCAGTAAAAAGATTTAATACAACCTTCCTTCGGAAAACTCAGAAACTCAACGAATTCATGATAACTTTCAACAACACGTTCTAAGCCATACAAGATCCACTCAAAGGAACTACTATGGAGGACAACTGGAAATAGATCGGAGAAGGATGAATTTCAAGGCAACAGGAGGTTCTGGGCTGCAAGAAGCATCACCATACGGAATGGATCTCTATCGAAACCCTGGACAAGATTCAAGAAAGGAAGATTAAGAAGACAGCAATAACAACAGCCGGACAAAAACAGAGAAAGTCAGGGCACAAGTTGAATACGCAGGAGCAAACAAGTAAGTGAAGAGAATCATTAGAGATGACAGTGGAAAAAGCTGCAGGGGAAGGAAATATGAGACAGCTATATGACAACGAAGAAACTAGGAGGTAAATATAATAAAAAAGAGGGACCAGCTGAGGATAAAGAAGGCGAAACAATCACCGAGACTCTACGGCAGAGGAACAGATGGGTGGAACACATCGAGGAACTATTAAATAAGCTAGCTCCGCTGAATTCACCGGTCATCAAAGCAGCACACACCCATCTTCCTATAGATGTCACTCCACGAAAGATCGAAGAAATCAACATGGCTGTCAGGTAAACCAAGAATGTGAAAGCAACAGGACCTGAATATATAACAGCCGAAGCACTAAAGCCAGGCCTAACTGCAAGTATGCTTCACATTCTATTCAGGTAGATTTAGGAGGAAGAACAAGTGCCGATGGACTGGAAAGCAGGACACCACATCGACATAACAAAGAAACGAGATCGGAGCAAATTTGAGAAATATAAAGGAATAACAATACCATCAGAACCAAGAAACTTTTTCAACGGTGTTGCCAAACCGGATGAAAGATTCAGTAGGCGCCCAGCTTCGAGATCAGCAGGTTGATTTCCGTAAGGATGGGTCGTGCACATAACGGAACGCGACACCAACGATCATCGTAGAATAATCAATTGAATGCAAATTGTCACTATAAGTCTACTTTCTTGATTATGAGCAAGCATATGAGTGTGGATAGGAAGACTTTACGGAAACGTTTTCGATACTACGGAGTACCTGAGAAAGTCGTCAACACCATACGGAATTCAAGCAAAGGACTACATTGCAAACTTGTGCATACAGAAATCACCAAACGAATCTCACCTGATGGGAAATCTCTGGAACAGGTGGAATGTCCCACGTACCAGGGAAATACCATCCACGAATGTGGAGGATGTGATGGAGACGTAAAGGCGAGGATTGACAAAGCAAGGGCTGCATTCCTACAGTTCGAAAACATATGGAACTCAAAACAACTGTCAACCAATATCAAAGTCAGAATCTTCAGTACGAACGTCAAGACAGCCATAGTGTACGGAGCTGAGAACTACCACAACCGTTATTGAGAAGGTACAAGTATTTATAAACGGACGTCTTCGCAAGATAATCAGTGTCCGTTGACCGAATACCATTAGTAACAGCCTACTGTAGGAGAGGACAAACCAGCTTCCTGTTCAAGAGAAAATTAGATAAAGACTTTGGAAATGGATAGGACATACATACGGAAATCACCAAACTGCATCACGAGGCAAGCGAGTTAACTTGCAATCGTGGAGGGAAACGGAAATGAGGACGGCCAAATAACGCCGGGAATTGGAAACAGACATGAAAAGGATGGATAGGAACTGAGAATAATTCCTAAGAACAGAGTTGGATGGATAATGTTGGTGGACAGTTTATGTTCTACCACGAGTGGCAACAGGCGTAAATGAACCCCACTGAGTACTAATATCAAGCTGGCCTTTAAGGATATAAACACCTACCTACTGCGATGTCACACGGTGCGTCTATTAGCATCTTGCTTTCCACTGATGCTGAGCGGTCTTTCAGTGCGTGAGTTGGAGTCCACTTTTCTGAGAATGAGACTTCGCCAAAATCACCACCTCAGCAATAAATCTATATCTCAAAAGCGTAATGGAGTATTTGGTTGAGCTTCAGAAACGAATATGTTCAAACTTATTCTATTGATACCTGGCGCAAGTAAGTCGGAGGTTTATCACAAACACACCCATTACCAATACATATCGTCCTGTCTTTTGTATTTCATTCAAAATGATAACGGGCGAGAAACCTAATTATAATCAAGAAGAGTATGTTTTTGCATAGCCCTAACTGAAATTGCTAAGATATTACTTTATGCATAGAAATAATCAAACTAAATCTTCTCATGGATTTTTGTAGACAGATATTTTATACATTTGAACACTGATAGAAGTCATGGGCGGTCAGAGCAAACCGTGGCACTCGTTCATAAAGTCACTAACTCCTTGTCTCAGTCATATTGTTAGATGCAGACTACTTGGTTGGGGCCCGTGCGGTGGTTGGAAACTAAGTGACATGGCCCAAAATCTATCACAATGGCGCAGGCGTATACACACTTTTTCTTCCCTAAAACCGTGAGATTAAAATTACTTCATACCTTCCTTTTTACCAAATAGTTCTTTCTCCCTATATTATATCCTTGCATGCTCTTTTTTGTATTCTTGAAGTAACTTTTATGAATTAGTTGTTCATGTTGTGCTATTGGGGCATGATAACTTGGACCGACGCATATATGTACTTAGTCCTACGTTGTAGATGACTGACTGGCATCCAATCTAACTAGCAACAGTATCGAAAGCCACATCTCGATGCTAATATCGATACGATTTTTCAACCTAAGATAGAACTTGGAGTTTTATCTTGACTCTGCCCGAAAATACAATACTACTGAACATTCAACTGAGTATCATTTTCGTCCAAGTTATTGGTTTGCTCCTAGGTGCCCAAAAGAATAAGCTGAAACAGAAAAATACTAAGAAACGGAACGTATTATATTGGCTTTATTTTGAAGTGCAATCCAATCAGCGAGAACACCAGACACTTGAGGTCCTGAACTAAGTAGTAATATGTTCTTAATCCCTCAGGATCCCTTTGTTCAAAATTAGATTAAATGAATAACTTACTTGCTATTCGTAATATCAATCAGAGATCCTATTTTTGAAGTTGTGAAAGATATGTGTTCATCGCCACAAACAATTTCGAGCTCCTGACGGCCAACTCTGTCAGGTACTGGCCATGAAGCATCATCTTCCGACATAATATCGCTCTCCAACACGATTCTCTTCAGCTCTTCCACTACAGAGGGGCTAACATACGCCTGGAGCGTTATTTGAGTTTTAAAGTAATGGTACCTCTTTGCGAATCATTGTGTCATTTTTATAATTGGAGTTGTTAGCATATCTTAACTTGCCTAAAGAATTTGTTAAAAGTGAGTAAACTTTACCTTCAGGTCTGAACTCGAATTCAAGAAATTCATGTCCAAACTTGCCTTTATGACCAACGTAGTATCGCAAATAAAATGAGCTTGTCATTTGTTAATCACTTTTTTTGAATTATCTCGACGGACGACCAGCAGTTTCTTGGTCACTACCTACACTTAAAAAGACGAGAGTGAGGTGAGTTGTAGTATCAAGCAAATCGAGTGCTGCATACAGAGGTTAGAAATACCTTATTATTTAAAGACAAATATTGGTACAAAAATGCACCAGATAAATATGCACCACACAAATCTCATTTGATTTGTGTGAGGGCTGTGATACTGCCCAGGTGCCCAAACTGAAGCAGGTTTAGAAATACCCAACTTCGTACATTACTGATTCACATAAACTGTCATTGGGTTTGAAAGTATCATTATACCATACCTACAGAAACGTTTAAAATCTCCACAGTACGCAACTGCCGTATATAGACACGGTTTTAGGAGTTACTTCTACGAGAAAAAGGTGGAAACGATAGCGTGTAAGATATGACATAATTCACGAAAGGAATTCACTCATAATATGAAAACACCTTTTTAAAAAAGTCCCTTAAGTCTGATTAACATACAAAATATGTTGTTTTTTGGATAGATGCAAAGTAAGTTGATAGATTTCCCTTCAACTATATGATGACGAAAAAAACAATACACACCTAATACTTCAGACAAATCCCGCCTCCACCGCACAATGCCGAATGCATGACCTTGACCATTGCAACAAACAGTTTTGTGATTTAAGACAATAAGAAAAATCGACCCATTCACCGAATATTTTTCCTTATTTATTAGATCTTATGAAGCGCATTGTGAAACTGCTGATGATATAATTAATCATCATAGCGATATTGTTTTATTTGTATTTTTTCATTTTCACCATCATTATTGCTCAAATTTGCAAGTTAATGCTCGCATATAGAGTCTTGTTTAAATACTCGCAAGTTTGGCTTCAAAGTACCGTATACCTACATCTGGTTGCAAGATCTGCATCCAATCTAGGGAGGGTTAGACCAAACATCTACTGAAAATCCAACATATTGCTTAATCGCTACGCTGAATCCTAGCTGTCCACTGTATCCAGTGAAGACTTTTCCTGGTATTGAGAGAAGATTGATGCCTCTGTAATTTTCATACCTGCTGAAGTCGCTTTTATATGGTATTTTGATCAGGTGTCCTAATTTCCAGTCAGTTGATACGTATTCTTCATCCTAGATGTTACTGAAAAAAAGAATGTGCAGTATCTTTGCAGTTACTGCTACGTCTGCTTTCAATGCCTCTGCTGGAATGTTGTCTGCTCCTGTTGCTTTGCCGCTCTTGATTAGTCCGATGGCCATGATGAACTCTTCAATTGTTGGTGAGCCAATATCCGTGGGTGCTACTACGATGTTGGATGTGTTCCGTCAAGCTGGTCGATTCAAGAGTTCTTTGAAGTGTTCTACCCACCTGTTTCGTCGTTCTTCAACGTCGGTGATTACTTTGCCTCCCTTGCTTTCAACTGGTCGTCCTGGTTTACGGTAATTTCCAGCGAGTTTCTTTGTTGTATCATACAATTGTATCATATTTCCTCCTCTTGCAGCCTTTTCCGCTGTCATTGCTAAATCTTTCACATATTTACGTTTGTCGGTTCTGATGCTTCTCTTCACTTGCTTGTTTACTTTTGTGTATTCAGCTTGTGCGTTGACCTTTTCTGCTCTTGTTCGGCTGCTATTGATTGCTGCCTTCTTGTTCCAATCTTATTCAGTGTACCAACAGTTATCCATTCCTTGTGATGGTGCTTCTTTTGGCCCAGAACCTCATGACATGTTGAAGTGATTGCCTCATCGTTCCCTTTCCAGCTTTTTTCTGTGGTACTTCCATCTCCACTGAGTAGATCGTGAAAGGCCTGAAGCCTATTGGTGAGGGCTATCTCGAATTCGTTGAGTCTGTCAGTATCCCGAAGGAAGGCGGTATTAAAAATTTTTGATGTTGTCTGCCACTTTATCCAGTGCTTCTTGGGTTTTAATTTTATCTTGACAACCAGCAAGTAATGATCTGAGGCTATATCAACTGCTCTCCTGGTTCTCGCATCCTTCATGGTCCTCTTGAACTTTTTGTTGATGCAGATATGGTCGATTTGGTTATGCGTAGCGTGATCCGGTGAAGTCCATGTGATTTTGTGAATGCTTTTGTGTGAGAATATAGTGCCACCTATGACCAGTTTATTGAATGCACATAGGTTTGCAAATCTCTCACCATTTTCGTCATTTTCTTCCAGTCAGTTCATCTGCATCCAATCTAGGAAGGATTAGACCAACCATCTACTGAAAATTCAACATATTGCTTAATCGCTACGCTTTCTTACCCCCATTCTTTCTGGACTTATGTTGAATTAGTTTGCTACACCCCAGAAAGCCAGCAGACAACCTATTAGCACCTCGTAATTGATCCAATTTCTCTTGGATTTATACTGTAGTGTCGAATAAGTAAACAGTATTCTTCGTAAGTCTTCACCATCAGTGCTGACCTCGTTGGTTTTAATGTAAGCACGCCTAACTAAATGCTCCCAATCAAGCGCCTTCACCAGATCACTTTTCCTGATTTTTGTTGCGCATGTTGCACGACAACTGATAGAGTTATCTTTCACACATCACTGTAGTTTACTCGTTAATCCAAATATATGTTGACATCCTACCGTTCTCTGCCTCTTGATTCATTGCCCTTTAGATCATTGGATACCAAGGGCTTCGGACAAAAATGTTGTTAAACCCTAGGTACTTCTGCCCCTTACAATGCTGTATTAAAAGTCGCCCGCCTCAAAACTACCAAACTGCGAAATTGAGAAAGCAACTCAGGGGAATTTCACAATTGCTTTTCAGGAGTGTTTACCATCTTTCTGATATTTAGTAACAGGGACTATTCAGCTTTGAGTACACCAGTGAGTTATTATCACCCAAAACGACACCTGTAGTCAAGATCACCTGTATTTTAGTTACTTCCAAAATACATATGTCATCCCCACAAAGGTAGCAGCTAAACACTTTACTGTCGTGTTACCGTAACTAATGCGCGTTAGTTGATATTACTTTTTTGCTTCAGCAGCCTTCCATTAAGTAGCCGAGTTATCTGAACAATGTTCCTAAGCCCTGGCCACTGACAATGCTGATTTTGTTTACGGGTTTATTACACAGTTTAGCTTGCATCACATTCATTAGCTTGGTATTCCACTTCTTTCTTACATGTATGTTAAGTATTTTTAAAAATATTTTCATGGAGTAATTTTCCGGCAAATTTTTCAAAGGTACAACAGCCGGTTTTGCTATATCATCACGGTAATTGGAGAATATGTTTACAGGATATCGTTCCTGAGCTGAATATTGACCATTCGTGTATCAATCTGGAAAACACCGTCGATAAGTTGATTTATTTGGTTGCCTGGTAGGTGATGTATTGCTTTCTTGCGGCTGTTATTATTTAACACGAATGGTTTCGATATGTAAGAAAGTAGCTCTTGTGCCAAACGTTTTACAGTATAATAAACCCGACTTACTAGTTGACGACACCATCATTCTCTTGAACCGTCAGTCTGGGCAGTCGGGTGATTCTGCTGCAAACTGGATACGACACTCTCAAGCCTGTCTTAAAACTGACAGTGATTTACACCGATACTATATGCACGAGGTCAGAGTAACCGTTTTGGCTGCATCTTATGATGTTTTCGAGGATTATTAAATGTTTAACTTTTCAACTAACATTCCTCCCCCCTGTTTATCGTTTCATCAAGATAAACTCCGGGTTACAGATCTATAGTCCACTACCACACCACTAATAGTTGTAGTCTCTAAAGCCACTGACTGTAGCAACTTACAAACACCAGTTTTTTATTCAGGTGGTTAGAGAGGAACAGAAGGATGGAAACAATTGACGGGTCGGAATTGTCCACATGACAAGTATGAAGATAAAAGAAAAAACACTAGGGTCATAATGTCAAACAAGTGATCGTAATGAAAAACTGTTAAGGGACAATAATAACAAAACAGTGACTTGAAAAACTCTGCAGAAAGGGATTAGGGCCAAAGAAGAACGAGAGGTTGGATGTAACGTTTTTGCACGCAAAGTTCGGGCTTCAATTGGTGGATTGACGATGCCTCAGCAGTGCACGACTTTTGTGTCCGACCTCCTTTACACCCAGTTTCTTTGATCATGTAAAGTATTTTAACGGGAGACCCCTTTACAACGATAGGACCAGAGATGATTACATGCCCCCACATTGAGCTGGCAAATGTTTTGCTTAGGGCTTGCAGAAGCTAAACCGGATCATGTTCCGGGATGTGCTTGAGAAGTTATAGATTCGTGCGGCTATGTGACCTGCCACAGAAGAGCAGTAAGGTTGATGTGTCAAAAGTCATACTGGTCATAGAACAGGGGAATAAATTGGCATACAAAAGAATATAAATAGTATTGGTAAAATTTGAATACCCGGTAAAGATGTCAGCACGCTTCATGAAAAGAAGTGTGATTGTAAATACTGTTTATTAGTGAAGCTATTGTAAATCAATGTACTACGACTTCTCTCACCACAGAAGCCTTAATTGGTCTATGTGAAAGACTGTCAACCACCTGCTGACACTAAGTGTTTTAGAGCAACTCGTCGAAACATTTTGTACCGCCCGAGGCTTTGCTGGCATTCTTTCGCACAATGTTTCGGCGTGATAATATATCACACGGAAAATCCGAAGGGTTGTATCGCGCATGCTTATGAATCTGAAGGTCATGGCTGTAAAATCCAAACTAAGGTTTGACTGAGGAATAACTGTATGCGTAGTTTAGATGCTCGATATTCCCCAATCGAAATCAAAACAATGGGATTGGGAAAATGACGGTTCTACATTTCATTATAAATACAAATATACATTATTATGTAAGCAAATATTACCGCTCAGTTATTCAACCAATAATTGTTCCCTCAATAGTCGATCTAAATTACAATAACTAGGCAAATTGATAAGGTATGTAAGAAAATTACCGGACGCACCAAAAAGTAAGTGTTATTCTATCCTTTCTGGATCGATCAAGTAAAAATCCGTTCAAAAGATAATAGATTGTTGCTTTATAACACAAAGTGTTTCCGATTCTGGAAAAGTGCTTCGACTCACAATCAGAATGCACAATCCCAGTCAACTCAGGCAACACATTCAAAGAGGGAACAAGTCAATATGGCTGCCGCCACGACTAAATATCAACCAAAACAATATAAATACAGTTCAGGAAAAAAACATAGAAACACGGTGAAGGCAAAAGAAGAATGAGAAAACTATAATAGATAAAATACTATCATCTCAAATGGAATCAGAAAGACTTACAAAATATACAACTAAATAAACCAATAAAAACAAGTTGCAAATGTATGCGTGGAGGGATTTTCACACACAAAATCTCCAAAATAGATTTTACAATGGCTTTTCCATAATTTTCTCTTGAACAGGAAGCTGGTTTGTCCTCTCCTACAGTAGGCTGTTACTAATGGTATTCGGTCAACGGACACTGATTATCTTGCGAAGACGTCCGTTTATAAATACTTGTACCTTCTCAATAACGGTTGTGGTAGTTCTCAGCTCCGTACACTATGGCTGTCTTGACGTTCGTACTGAAGATTCTGACTTTGATATTGGTTGACAGTTGTTTTGAGTTCCATATGTTTTCGAACTGTAGGAATGCAGCCCTTGCTTTGTCAATC